AAAACCTTTGATCTCAATACTGGTTTCATCAAAAGTTGGCGAAACTCCTTAAATTATTTTCATTTATCTCCCAAATCTCATCCAATTGATCCAAACGTCGATTTAGGTGAGTATGGAAACAATCAAGTTGAGATACAATTTCTTTTGTGTATCCCACCATAGCCTTCTTCATTAATTGTACTTATACCACTAGTGACTGGTGGAGAGACAAGGTGGTGGCGATTACACCCAAATATAGAACCTATGATGGTTGGCCTCTTGTCTCACCAATTTTTTCGCCGTCACTTTTTGCTAATTGGTCAAGATCATACATGGCCACTAGCTCCTTTATAAACCCATGAAAGATCACTTTCTTGTTCTCTCAGTCGTGGAGCCATCAAATCAAACACACAGGGTCCCACCAGATGTGCCAATTTGTTTTCTGACGAGAAAAACTCTGGTGTTTGATATTAATGATTTACACCTTTGACTTCTTGAACAACGATTAATAACACGGTTCACACCTATCCGAACAATGTTCGAACGAGGGTGTTTAATGTTATTGATGGCTGAGAAAACTAAGTTAAATTACTCCTACTCCTATGAAGGTTCAGTGAGAGCTCTGAATACTAAATGGTACTTTTAATTTGCAGAGAAAGGATAAATTTTGACATTGTGCGTTAAATGTTTAGTTGTGGAACCCTTGATTTGTCTTTGTTTTTCCTATTTATAGACATCCCTTGTAAACGGCATGTAACTACCTATTGTAACCGTTGCCTCCCCTGCTTGGTGTTTGATTTAGTTTGCTTCACGCCTTAACTGCCTTGTGTGCTTGCCAGTTGATACCTTGCACTTTGATGACTTCACTTGATAGCTAGCCCCTTGTGCCATGGATGAGTCTTGCTTGGTGAATGAGGGTTTCACGCTTGGTGGTACTCATGCTGACCACCCCGGCATGACATCATACTTGGCGCTATGGTTCTTGGGGGTTGATGGATGCTCACTGACCCCCTTGGTAGCATCATGCCTGTAAGGTCTTGACAAGGCGATCTACCATGAGATGATGTACATGGCTGACACTTAGAAACTTGATAACCTTGTCTACTAGGTACCATGCATGACTACTCATGAAGCCTAGCATGCCCGATTACTGGGGATAATGGTGCGTTGTGCCTACCCCCTTGGCATGGTGTCATACTTGTTACTTGGTGCTTGACCCCCCTTGTGATTGGGTCTCAACACTTACTACTTGGGTGGTTGACGCTTGACTCCCATTGGATGATATCACGCTTGACCCCTCTAGTGGTTTGGTCTCATGGTACCTAGTGCTTGACCCCCCTTGCATTACATCATGCTTGAACCCCCCTTGTGGTTGGGTCTCATGCTTGACAATTGGGTGCTTGGTGCGTCATGGGTTGTGTGTTGATGCCTAGCATCGCTTTATGGGTAGCCCAAAATATCCAACACTTAGGCCCAACTTAAACCAATTTAATTAATTTGGTTAAGTTAACTTTATAACGCACTACTACTCCTTGAAAATAATCAATGTGGTATGGTATCTAGTGATTTTTTAGTGGTAAACACTTGCCGATGGGAATAGCTTACACACTAGTGACTCAGTACCTCGTAGACAACATAGAAACACATTCTTCAAGTGCCTTCATCAACCTCCCTTGTTCATTCTTAGCCCTCATCTTAAAGAAAACTAAATAGGAAGGGAAAAACAGTGGTAGCTAATATTCTTGTATATACTTTTGTAAGTGGTGCATCTTTAAGCCAATGGTTAAACCAAAAGGATACTCTTTTTCCACAGCCAGGTTTAATGCAAGCAAACTTCCAATAGACAGCATGTTGTGTATTTGAGTTCTCGGGATGCAGCCAATGGTGAGGTTCCCTAGTCATCTAGTAAGACGTTGAATGCCTCAATTTTGTTTCTATGAGCTTCCTCTGTCAATATTCCTTCTCCATCGAGAACCTCCACCACCACTTAGCTAGTAGAACATGATTTTTGCATCTCCATATTAGGGATTCCAAGCCCACTGAGTTTCTTAGGCACCTTACATTGATCACAAGATACAAGGTGAAGTTTTTGCTTCTCTTGCTGGCATTTCCATATGAAGGAACATTGTATTCTTTTTATTTTGTGGATAGCACTACCAGTGCTAGGTACTTTAAACAATGAGCAGTGGTTATATTGGTTGGCTTGCAAGGGTTGTCATACTTATATATGATCCTGTCTTTGAGTGACAACAACCCCTTTTTAGCGTTCGACTACAAATGTCAACAGAGCAAATCAGACGGGTATCTCAATACATATACCTTTGACAGGTCGTATCCAAGTCGAGTAATTTATCATAGGATTCGGTTCGGGGAAAGTCAACCCATATGGGTATCGAACATGTATCTCAATACATATACCCATGATAGGTCTTGTCAAAGTCAAGTAATTTATCATAGGATTCGCTTGGGGGAAAGTCAACCCATATGGGTATGTAATTTAAAGGGAAACATTAAAAATATTCATTTTTCATCAAAAAATTAAGAAACAAGTTTTAACATGGTAATTGTTGTTAAATTATTCGAGAAATTGAGGCTCTCACCTATTTATAAACTTATTTGTAGCTAAAATATGAGCTAATAAAATAAAAGTAAAATCCTAAGTAATTTGACTAAAATTACATGTAATTTAGGCAAAAATGGGTCGATAATGTAGCAGGTCGCGGTAGGTCAGGTTGTGGAGAGTACCCATGCCCGCCACAAAACAACTCAAATATGTTAGGTAAAACGTGTCGGATCGAAATTGCCACCCACCCTGATTGCTCAATAAAAAATGTCCATGTTCCCATTTATGGAGCAGAAATTACTGCAACGTTTGCAAGGATGGTTGCAGAGGACTTTATCATGGGCATCAAACAAGACATTGATTAAATCAGTGACATCTGCGCTACCCCTACATGTAATGTCCTACTTCAATCTCCCACTATCTCTCTGTATAATATTGGACAAGCATGTGGTGAGATTTTGGTGGGGGAGAGGGTGGCCAGTCCCATATTCACAGGGTTTCCTGGAGAAACATGTGCCAAAGCAAGCACACGATGGAGGGATGGGATTTTTAGGAGATTCAAGAATTTAAATTAATTCCTTTTGGCTAAAATTGGATGGGGAATCCTTAATGAACCTCAGTCCCTCGACTCCCTCCTGGCCCAGGTCTACAAAGGAAAATATTTTCCTATGGAATCATTCCTTAGGGCTACGGCTCGCTCACGACCATCGTAGGGTTGGCATAGTACTCTTCATTGTCGCCAATTACTCCAGCAAGAGTTGCGATGGAAAATTGGAAATGGTTGTGTTGCATCTATTCAGAATTCCAACTGGGTTCCTGGGTTGCATCCGCACGCCCCTTCCTGCTATCACCAGGTGATACTGGAGGGAAGTGACCCAAAAGTGTTAGAATTAGTGATGCAAGGGGATGAGAGATGGTGCGATGAGAGGCTCAATCAACTATTTCCACCAGATGATGCTCGTGCCATTAAAGCGATCCCAGTGCCTCGTGAGGTTATAGAGGACTCACTAATCTATCATGATACCAGTAATGGAGTGTTCAACATTAAATCGAGATACTGTCTAACAATCCTGGTTGATCGAAGGAGATGTAGTCGGCGTCAGACTCTGAGTTGGATGGATTGATCTAGCTAGATTTGGATGTGGGATCTCGCGATCCCCCAAAGCTTAAGATCTTTCTTTGGAAAATGTTTAACCGCATTTCCCGATAATGGAAGCTCTGATTAAGAAGGAAGTCCAAATGGCTCCCCGATGTCTGGTTTGTTGGGCTGACTAGGAGACAATGGAGCATCTCTTTATGGAGTGTTTGGTGGTGAGGGACCTATGGGATCACTCTGGATTGGAATATCTATGCCAAAGTCTCCCTCTTCAAAACTTCCCATTGTTTCTCAAAAATTTGTTGCTATTGCTCAATCAACCCCGCCATAGTATTGCAATTTTTGCAGTCCTCTAGCGAATATGGAGATCCGAAAATTGGGTCATTGTTTAGGGAAAGCAATTCCAGGTTCCTACACTAATGAGATAGTATCATCAACTCCAAGAATGGATCAGTTTGCCAACTGACAGAGTGACTCCGACCCCTTGTCCCCATAATGGGTGATTGGATTTTTATAATCCTCTCTGGTACACATGCATGTGGGATGGTTCAACAAAGAATGAATCATACTCGACGGGAGGGATGGTCTTGAAAGACCAGAGTGGTGCGGTTATCTTGGCTAGGGGAGTGCATATTGCAAATATCGATGATCCACCACTAGTATAACTCTTAGTTCTCTGAGAGGCCATCAAGTGGTGTCTGGATTATGATCTTTTGCAGGTTCAGTTTGAAGGGGATGCCAAGGTGGTCATTGCAAGATAAGCCATGCCAATAAGCGAGATAGCCACTCTGGGGACATTCTTGAGTAAGTCCTATGTTTGTTGGCGAGTCATAATGGTCTTACTGTACGATTTATAGGTTGGAGTAGGCGAGTAGCAATAGGTAGCCCATTTGGTGGCTAAAAATACCCTTTCTTGTACATGACTGCGTATCGTTCTTTTGATTTTCTGTCATGACTTTATACCAGGTTGTGCTTGATCTCAATTTTAATCTAAAATTTTCTTTTGTAGAAAAAAAAAATATATATCGCCAACATAGAATCCTCAAAAACTAAATATATGTGAGATTTAAAAGGGTTTCATCTGACATCTGGCACCCTTGGCAGACCACAATGAATTGGCGGGCCCGTACCGTAGCTACCCAGTACCCACAATTAAGCTCACGACCCATTTATGCTCTTCTTCCCGCAGTAAATCTGCTACTGCCAGCCCAAGAATCAGCCACAGTTAGGCTCGTAAACCGAACGGCCCACTATCATTAACCGTGGATCCGTGGCAAGGGATTAAACGCCGTTATCACCTGAGGGAATTAAACATGGGCAGTGAACCCAAGCAATGCTTTTGTTTTGAGCTTAAACTGGGTAGGGCTCAATCCTTGAGATGAACTATGAAGAAGGTCTAAGGACTCCAAATCAGATAACATGTTGGCAACGGGCCTTTTTACACAGCTCATGGTTTGTTTGAACATTCCCTAGCAAACTATTTTACATCTTTCAATATCGTAGCAAACTATTGGAATTAAAAGAAGAAGAAGAAGCACACCATTTCTCCTCGTGATCAAAATGCCTAAATCCTAAGGAAAGAAGATGGGAGGGTCAGAGTATGTATTAACATACGCATTGGGCCTAATCAAAACTACAACTCATCAGTATAGCATCCTATATGATAAGCTCCTGGGATCTCGAAAACTTGGTCCTTGGTTGATGAATTGGCTTCAGCTGACGATTCCCTAACAGGGTAGAACTGTCGGAAAGAACGACGGACTGGAGGTAGTATCGCCGAGGATTTTCGATCTGCTGCTAATAGCTTCCCACATTTACTGCATGCACCAAGTTAAGAGTTTCATGATCTAGATAAATTTGTATATAAACTAATGATCATAGAAAAAGGGGAGATCTACACCTGCAAACTTTGGTAAATAATGTCTGGTAGCTGCATATCCAATTCTTCAGAAAGAAAAGGAACAGGGAGGTGGAAAACAAATGCACCGTTTAGCAATTAAAATGGAGTCAATCAAGGAAGAACCAAATTTGAGTTCTGATAACCATGATATTACCAAAAGAAAGTACAGGGCAATTTCGCTCCCGACTCCAAGAAAATGCTGCAAACCTATACCGGCATGCTCCTGCAACAGGTGATCACACTTGGGTCTCAGCTTGGGAAGTTAGCATGGCTCAACAAAGTTGGCTTACATAGCTTTTTACAAGATGTCTAACATAGAAGCTGTTACCCGTGATCTGTCTGAATAACATGATAGATGGAAGAACCTCTGGCGTGCATGTAGCTGCCTCCCTGCCAAAACGTAAATCAAAAAACCCCAGCAAAGCAAGTTCAAAAAGTGAAAGCAAACAAAAAAACCAAGTTGATGAAGGATGAAGCAAGAGCGTCAAGAAATTGGCAGATAGAGAAAGAGTGACTAATCCAATTACAGAAATCACACAAACTTATCTGGGCTTCTAAACTACTGCGTATTTATCATCCTCCACACCTCTATGCTTTTCTAGTAAGCATAAAAGCATATAGCATGAGATGCCATAAAAAGAGCAGATAGCTTGAGACAATCCAAGGTGCAGAATGTCTGATAAACATGGCCCATATCTTAACCCCACAAACTAGAATTAAAGAAGGATTCAACTGGTTAACAGGATATACCTCATCAGGGGAAAGAATGCAACTGCATCTGGATCGATTGACCCAGCAGGATGCAATGATACTACAGCTCTGAAGGTACAAGGAAACGATATTTCAATAACAGAAGCCCTTTCAGAGGCAACTGCAGCCTGTGGTCCTGCTCTCATTTTATTTAAAACTGTGAAAACTTTGCTCTTTTGGTGATTCAATTGAATTCTCATTTCCCGAACTCGGTAAAGAAGAAGCTCTTTTCAAACCAATCCCGGCGTTGGTATGTAAGAACTTTTACGTTGGGGACCTCCTTTTCCAATCTTGCTAGGACATCAGCAACAGACTTGAAATCTCCAAGTTCGTCTAGCTGACTTGTTAGTGGTGCCTGACGCCTACAAAGTTTCTTAGAACCTGGCTCTGTACTTTGATCTTCCGATTCATCTTCAAGGTGTGGAAAGAATCTTCTTTTCTGATCAGCAAATGCCTTAAGAGCTAACCTGGAAATCCACATTAACTACTGAAATTAAACCCTAAACACTAACCAGACCGGTGATGATCATGATCGATTTTTTTTTTTTTTTTTTTATGAACATGTCATGATTGATTTTGATTTACCCAGTTGACACGAAAAAAATTAAGTATCATATTTTTCCACAACCCCAATTCTAGACCCTCCCGCATATCAAGTAGCAACATTTCCTTTGAAGATGTAGCACAAATTTGGAGCAGCAATTGCCCATCAACGTTAGTAATTCCAATACTAACCTGGTTCTGTCCACAGCAGATGCACCAGCTTGCCCAGCTAGTTGGCGTTTCCACGCATAAGCAACAACTGCGCCATCTGGACACACTAATGGTATATGCAAACCCCAAGAATTACCCCTAGATTTCATGGAATCGTTGAGAACCCCAGTTTCCTCTAGCTGTCTTCCTACCAAAATCAAGCAAAAACACAAACTTTACCCCTCCTGCAATTTCTGTAAGAGCGAATGGAAATGGCAGGTATAGACATACCAACAGTGCGCAGGTCCTGGAGGTGCTGGCGCATGCTAGCATCTTCCTTGAGCAAAAACTGCAAGGTCTTGTTGCTTTGGTGAGACTGGGCGGCGAAGAACAACGCCTCGAGAAGCCGGTCACCGCCGATCCTCACATCAGCAATTAGCCGCGCAGCCTGGGCTAGCCTGTCCATGGCCAACGCTACCTGCTTTGGCGGGGCCTCGGCCGGCTGACCTGCGCTCGTACTCGGAGTTGATGCAGCTTGAGGCTCCGGCTGCTGCTGCTGTTGCTGTAGTTGCGGAAGCTGCTGTTGCTGGAATTGCATTGGGAAATTGGGTTTCACATCCATGGCGAAAATACCCTGGAAGGCAATGCACTGCTACCAAGAGGAAATCAGAGTCAATTTTGCCGAGGTAAGAAAGCTACGGAAGTCGTGATTTCTGGAGCGGTGGAAATGAGGGCTAGGTTGAAATATGGGTGCCGCCACCACTTAATCGAACCGAAAGGACTAAATTGGATCGCCGGACCCGACTTCAAGGTTCAAACTCGCTGATTTTTGGATAATTAGTCTAAGTGATCACAAATCTTTGTACTTTTCTACAAAATAGTAACAAAACTTTCATTTTGTACGATTTAATACATATGTTTGAGTTTATAGTAATATGATCATTCTGTTAATCTCCTTCTACTTTCCAAAACACTGATAGTTCTTTCCAGACGACAGTCCCCGTAACCCAAATATTACAAAAAAAATTTACTTAATCACACCATTTAGCCAAACGACACAACCCACCCAAACTCAAGTATCCACCCTACTAAAATACAAATGATCAACCCTTATTCATCACTAGCACCAGGCCCGACCCTTGGTCGGAGAGTTTGATTATTATATATTTTGATTTGTTGTTTTGATTTATAATATGTAATTTCTTAGTATGTATAAAGAAAATATAGAAATGAATAATGAATATAAACAACTAATAGCGATATTTAGAAAGTAAATGTGTCTATTTATTTTGTATTTCATGTAGAACACATGAGAGTTTTCTTCCATTTACATACACAAAATCAATCTTAATCATAAAAAAAATTATTGTCCATTCATGTAATTTAATAAAATATCTTTTCTCAATAGTTACTATCTTTATTCATCACGGTACGTTATAGATATGAAATTATATCATGTGAAAGAATATATTGGGCACATTAGAGATTGATCAATATATATATGGTGACTTCTTCGGTGCACTCACAAAAATGAGTGCGTTCAATACACCCAACTCAAAAACTAGTCTTAAGGTGCCAGATTTTGAATTTCAATTCATAGAATTAGTGTAATATGATGATATAACATATGATAACAACTAATTAGCTGATTACCCTAAGCCCTAGACCTCCAATTTTGAGTTTTATCCCTAAACCCCAAATTGTAAACCCTAACCCTAACCCTAAATCTCTAAACTATAAATCCTTCACATTAAAGTAAATCATTAATGGTTTTTGTGCAAATTCATGTGCGTTATTGTTCATCACATCATAAGTGATGATTGACATCATTTTGACATAAATCGCATGTTTAAAATGATGGTTATGAAGCGAGTGCATTCAATGCACTCACTTCATAATTGACATTTTGAGTAGGCGATTCATGTCTAAACAATGTTAATCATCACGTATGATACGACGAACAAGAAACCCCGTGAATTGGCACAACAATTATTCCAAATTTACATTAATTTGATGGAATTATGGTTTATGGATTTAGGGTTAGGATTCATGATTTGGGGTTTAGGACAAAAGTTCAAAATTGAAGGTTTAAAGCTTAGGGTAATGCATTGATTAGTTGTGATCTTATGCTATCATCATATTATACTAATCTTGCCAATAAAAAAAAAATTGATGTCTTAAGGCTACTTTTAGAGTTGGGTGCATTTAATGCACTCATTTTTATGAGTGCACCGAAGTAGCCACCATATATATATATATATATATATATATATATATATATATATATATATATATATATATATGTATGTATACATATGGTGCCTTCTACGGTACCCCGAGTGAAATCCGGGGTACCGCATACCTTGAATATGAAAACGCTATCTAGACCTCGAATTAACATGATTTTTGAGCATGATACTATACCCTAACCCTTAATGAGTGAGCACTAGGTCCTAATTATCTAAATCATAGACTATAATTCCTAAGATGGTGCATTGATTTTTTTGCCTATATTTGGACGAATCATAACCGTCGATTATTGTTTCTAATTAAATTGATCTTTGCGTATAAGATTTAGAGAATTAAGACCAATATTTTGATCTTTAAGGGTTAGAGTATAGTATCATGTCCGAAATATAAGTCAATTCAAGTTCTGAATAGAGTTTTCTTACTCAAGGTATGCGGTACCCCGGATTTCACCCTAGGTACCGTAGAACTCTATATATATATATATATATATATATATATATATAGGTGGCTACTTCGGCGCACTCACTTTTTTTGGTGCACTGAGTGCACCCACTCTAAAAGTCTCCATATTACATCAAATTTTGAACTTTAATTAGTACTCTCAATCTAATATGATGATATGACATAGAATCATAACAAATCAATCTATTACCCTAACCCCTTAACCTTCAATTTTGAATCCCAATCCAAAATCCCAAAATTTAAACCTAATCTCTAACCCTAAATCCCTAAATCCTAAATCCTTCAAATTAAAGTAAATTTTGAATGAATTTTTTTTCAAATTCATGTGCTTCTTTTTCATAATATCATAAGCAACAATTGATACAGTTTTGACATGAATCGCATGCTCGGAATGACAATTATGAGGCGGGTGCACTGAGTGCACCCAAAAAAGTGGGTGTACCGAATACGCCACCATATATATAGTTAACGATTTTGCTTATGTTGACAACGTTTCAATTTGTAGATTATTAACAATACAACATTTCATTGTTAACAATATGATCCAATATCACAATTGTTTAATAATGTTGTTTGTTCATATTATTGATGTTCATGATATCATTGATAAATTAATTTATAAATGAATATTTATGTTGATTATGATAATTGTTAACATCACACAAAATGGAATAGGTACTAACTCGTATAATTAAAACTAATATGATAATTGTTAAAAATAACTTTATTGTTGTTAAAAATACATGTTAGTTCGATAAATGGTTCTATGGTAGGGATTTTGTAGAGTTTTTTTATGCACCGATTTTGTATTGTAATCCAAAATATATTAAATTTTTATTTTAATAAGGTCTAATAAAATCGTTAGATTAATCTAAAGGCCAAAATTAGATTGAATTAAATAGTAACCAACGATTAGTACCATATATATTATGGAAGCGAAAATGATATTGGAATCTTCAAAATTGGAAATTTTATTAGAATAAATGAATAATGATTAATGTGTAGCTTGGTTTGATAATCGGATTTATGAAAGCACACCATCTTTTTGTTGTTTGACAGGTGAAAATAGAGATGATTTGGCGTGGAGACGAATTTTGAAGCTTCACCCAACTATGCAGACGTTTATGATGAAGCAAGATGATGATGGCTTTTGGAATGGAAAATTGATGTTTAGCTAGTAGCTACTTAGTGAGTGCAGTTTGGGATACGATACGTCCTATGAAGAGCAAACAACACTGGTCTGCTCTTCTCTAGAGTAAATTCTATGTGCCGCGGTGGAGTATCATAGCATGGATTATGGCCATGGATGTGATAGTAACCAAGGTAAAGTTGATGCGGTGGGGTAAATTAAATGAAGATAGATGCATTTTATGCCATGCTAATAGTGAGACTTGGGATCATTTGTTTTTCGAATGTTGTTTCTCGAGGAGTATTGTTAGCAGAGTTGGTAATTTTCTTAGAGCAGCTCTTGGGATCTCAGACTCTCATATGCATGTAGAGTTGCAAAGTGAAACACGACTCTAGGGACACTTGTTTGGACCTCTATGGTGCTCCTTGATTAGCTTTGTCTGGCAGGAAATGTGTCAAAGGCTCCATGGAGAGGTCCCAAGAATGACCGAGTTGGTAACAGAGTTATGGCTGCGAGATTTCCGCTTATTTGTTTCCTCTTACCTAGGTTTAGAGGTTGGGATAGTTTGTGTCCCTCCAATAGCATAACAATAAAATAAAAAATAAATTAGAAAGTGAAATAGAACCCAACGAATTTAACGTCTAGCGGAAACACTAAAATCAATGCGACAGATTTAAAGCCAACATAAATATTTAAACGAAGCATTCCAATTAAAGTGTGGTAAATGACATTTTGCCTTCCAAAAATTACTCTGGTTGCTAAATATTTGAAATTGAGAAAATTTAACCCATGAATCTACTTCATATTTTATAGATTGGATTTAGAGGATAGTCTAGAACTAAAATAATCAAATATGAAAATTGAAATATCAAGCACCATAAAGATACTTACAGGAGACTTAGTGAGCTAGCTTATCGTTATGCAAAAGTCATTTGTTTTTCAGATTTTAACTTCTTGAATGTTTTGTGATAAAAAGTATATAACGTATTTGTTTAGTGTAATTGGTTATGTTTCTTGTCTTTGTTTAAAGAGACCATGGTTCAAATCTTGGTGTTGATATATTTTTGTACAAAATAAATAACTAATTGTGAAGACAAAAATATCCTTCCTACTTTCACTTTGGTTGCTCGAAATTTTAAATGGAGAAAAATGAACCCATGAAAAAAAAAAGAATCTGCTTTATATACAGTATAGAAGATTCTTCTCCATCATTCGTCTCTCTCATTTCTCATGTTCCCCATATCTTAAACATAATTTTATAACAAAACTCAAAACCCATCTCCCAATCTAAAATCATGCTCGAGAAAAAAAGACCCAAGTAGAAAAAAGGTTAATACCTTAGTTTGGCCCGAACTATAGACAAACTTTCTACTTTGGCCCGTGGTATCAGAAATTGCTATTTTGGCCTAAACTATGTAGCAAATTTTCTTATTTGGCTTGGAGGCGGGTTTGACCGTCAAATTAGACGGTCAACCGAGTTGACCGTTAGTCAAAGCCCACCTCACTTGCCACGTCAGCTATCAAGGAATAATTTTTTTTTAGAATTTTTTAGTTTTGTTTACTTTCTAAAATTAATTAAAAATAATTTGGGGAGAATTTTTAATTAATTTTTTTGTTTACTATTAGAAAGTAAAAAAAATACAAAATAAATTTTTTATTCTCTAATAGCTAACGTGGCAAGTGAGGTGGACCTTGACTAACGGTCAAACCCGCCTCCGGGCCAAATAAGAAAGTATGCTATATAGTTTAGGCCAGAATAGCAATTTCCGATACCACGGGCCAAAGTAGAAATTTTGTCTATAGTTCAGACCAAACTAAGATATTAATCATAGAAAAAAGACCAAAGATACAATCATGAGTTCCATCTCTACCTGCAAGTAGGGGTGGCAGTTCGGTTTCCGGTTAGCGGCTAACCGGGCGGTTTATCCGATAACCGTCGGTTACTAGCTAACCGAAAACCGACGGTTATTTACCTCGGTCGGTTGACGGTGAAAGAAATGTGGTTTTCGGCTAGCCGAGTAACCGAGGGTAATTAACCGCGGTTACCCGACTAACCGAAAATAACCGGCCAGCTACTCAACCCAGCCCAGCCAGTCATCCTAACCCTACCCTAATTCTTTCTTTCTTCTTCTTCTTCTTCTTCCGCTCCGACGCCTCCTCTTCCATTCATAAACCAAAAAACCATCGCCGACCTCCCCCCACCTCTTTCCTCCTCCTTCTCCCCCTACCAACCTCTCTCACCAGTTTTCCCTCCCCATCCATCGCCGACGCCATGCATACTCTGCTCTGCTCCAAAGTCGCTGCCTGCCTCTCCTCTCTCCAACACTCCGATTCCTCCGCCGCTCCCTCCGCTCGCCTCCCGGCTCTACCCCGACGTCCGCCTTTGCTTCTCCTCCATGTCCCCTTTTTCTTTTTGGGATTTTTGGGTCTGGTGAGATTTTTTGGGAGGAAGGAAGAAGGGGTCTGGGGGAATTTTTTGGGAGGAAAGAGGGGAGAGAGAAGGAAGAAGACGTGGGATTTTTGGGTGGGAGGAAAGAAGGAGAGAGAAGGAAGAAGACGTGGGATTTTTGGGTGGGTGGGAGGATAAGGAAGGAGCGGTGGAGGTTTTTTTCTTTTATTTAATTTTTTTTTTTGGAAAATGTATTTTTTTTTCTTCAGTTGGTCGACTAACCGAGCCTAAAACCGGAACCGATCGGTCGGTTGGCCGGCTAACCGTGACCTCTCTTCGGTCGGTGGTCGGCAGCTACAGGTGGTGTCTTGGTTTAACCGATAACTGGGTTTTCAGTTTTCGGTTAAACCGAAACCGACCGACTGCCACCCCTACTTGCAAGTGTCAAGAAAGAGTTGTTCTACTAACAACGTGGATGAAAGATAATGCGGAAAGAAGATTCCTCGGCTGTAAGAGAAAGCACTTAGTAAGATGTTGAATTAAGTTCTGATTGTTGTGTTCATCATGAGGAGACTTGATAACTATAATCTTCTTTTTCTTATCATGAAGAAATTTTTGCATCATTGCGATTACTTTGAGTGGATTAACCCTCCAATTGATGATGGCACAGTTGTCATAAAAGAGCTTTTGAGGAAGATCAACAACACCGAGAGAAGATAAAGGGGAGAGAGTCAACCTGAGTGTAGCATACAACTGAATGTCATTGCTTCTTTTTCGTCAACTGCAGGAAACGAGGTCCAACCTACAATAGGCAACCAAACCAAAGATCTATTTGCTTGGATGATAAATCTAACATGTATCGTTATTTGTGTTTTGTAGGAATATTTGTTGGTAGATATGTGCAATATATTAAACACATTATCGTTGGTAGATATGTGTGGTTGTAAACACTTATTCGATCTATAATTTTCAATGTCAAGCTTTATTCAGGTTATGAAATATGTAACTCGATGGTCATAAAACTATCTAGTTCATAACAAAATGGTCATAGAATAATTGGGTTAATTGCATTGTTGGTCACTGAGATTACAAAAAACTTTCAAGTGTGGTCACTCGAAATATTTAAATCCATTGATGATACTTCAGTTTACTGAAACCGTTCACGTTTAGTCACTCTCCGTCTAACTCCGTTAACTTTGACTGATGTGGCAGTCAACTCTCAAAGTTGACCGTTAACTTAGTGACATGGCAATTAAGAAATAATAAATAAAATAAAATTTATCTATTTTAATGTCCAACTTATTTTTATCATAATATAAATAAATAAAATAAAATAAAAAATTATTATTATTATTATTATTATTATTATTATTATTATCAAATTGAAAGAGTCGCTTCCTCGTCGGGGCTCCCAAGCCAACCCAGCAGCGGCGCAAGGAGACCTGAGAAGATTTCTACTCTTTTCCTCTGTTTCTTGCAACAAACAATTCCTCCTAAGACCCCGATTCCTATCCCTCTCCCGGCTACTGCGTTTGGGCCTTGGGGCTACCAATTATTAGCATGTTATTGCTGGATAGCTCGATTCGCCGATCTGGTGAAAAAGAACAGAGCTTTACTTCGTTGCGGCTGGGCCCGACAATTATGGACAGAGCAGCATTTGGCGGCGGAGGAGGAGGGATGTACCCGTACGAGAATGGAGTGGTGATGACAAGAGACCCCAAGCCGCGGCTGAGGTGGATGGCGGATCTTCACGATCGTTTTGTTGATGTTGTTACCAAGCTGGGTCACCCTGAAAGTAAACCCAACTGCTACTTTCTTCTCCCATCTTTTCTATCTGTTCCTGGTTCAACATTGACTTAGTTTGGAAGCTTTTGGTTTTTCTTTTGTTCATTACAGAGGCGACGCCCAAGTCAATTTTGAGATTGATGGGGCTGAAATGTTGGATATTGTACCACTTGAAGAGTCATTTACAGGTGATCACTGATCACTTGAAGAGTCACCTATGTTCCTCTTCGTCGCATTAATTTCCTCCCACCAATTTATCATCACCATCTCAGTCGGGGAAAGATCACTCAACCTCCCAAACAGTGCCGATTCTGGGATCACCAAGCAAAGCAGATCATCCCATCACTGACAGGAGACCATGCATGTTCAGTTACCAAATAGAGCACCTCAAAATCAACTCATCTGTGTTGGCTGGCGTTTGGCCAGGCCGTCTGGAGCGTGGTATACAATTGTCGTTTGGCAGCTGCAATTCAGACAACAATGGCACTGCTCATGGCCTCCGATGTCCTATTCGTGCAGGGAGGGAGTTTACCGGAACATGGATTCGCTTTCTGTTGTAATCTTCTCGGGTCTCCTTGCGCCATTGTTGGGCTGGCTTGGGAGCTCTGACGAGGAGGAAGCGCTACTTTCAATGTGATAATTATAATAATTTTTTTATTTTATTTTATTTTTTTATTTTATGGTAAAAATGAGTTGGACATTAAAATAGATTAAATTTTAGGGCTAATACCACTGGAAATACCATCCTTTAGCGAAAGTGTCATTTATATTATATAATTTTCGATATGACAATTATATACCGACCGTTAAATTTTCTGTTTGTACTTAACAGAAAACACAGTCAACGATGACATGACAGCTGACATGGTAAATACAAAATAAAGTAAAATAAAAATTATCCAATTAAATACAAAAAATTGAAACAAAAAAGGATTGGCATCCGCCCACTGCTCTCAACTCTCTCCAATCCCCTGCCCCCAGCTTCTCTCTCAGTCCCTGCAGGCTGCAACAAGCCAACGAGAAGAAAAGAGAGTGGTACGATTCCGGGGAGGATTGGCCGTTCCATTCTAATCCCACGGGTCTGCAACCGAAAGCCAGGAACGAGGAGGAGGGAGAAGCGGACACGAAACCCGAACCAATTACGAAGTCCAAATGGGATCCCACTTATTCAGACCCATCTGCTTGAAAGTTTTGCTTTTAAGAAGTTAAATCGAAGGAGGTGAAGGAGACGACGGAGGCGGCAAGAATCGGGAGGAGAAATCGCTTAGCGAGACGTAGCAGTAACTGGTTAGGGCAGCTACACTGGAGTCGCTGCTGTGACAAGCCGTGGCAAAGAAATCGGGCCGCCGTGACCAGCAACAGTGGAGGTGGAGTCTCCTCCGCGGGTCCCCGCTGTGTAATCGGATCGATCGGATTCGGAGCTAAACAAAAACCAGACGTCAAGAAATCGAAGGGTCGTAGAGGAAGGGTTTTGCATTAGGATGCCCTCGGAGAGACATAAGCTAGATCCCGATTTGGAATTCGATCCCGATAAACATATAGGGCTAGGTAATTGAGCAAAGTGGATGGTGGCGGTTACGGCGAGGCCGTCGATTTCGATAGCCATGGTGGCTCTTCTCAAACTGGGTTCATCCGTTCATGGGAGTCGTGGATTTGGTAGGAAACATAGTGGGAATATTGGAAGAAGATTGCTGAAGATGGGCGATGTAGAGCTTTTTGGGTGGGTTGCATTCTCGGCGATGAAAATTGGGGCATGCGGCGGCCGGCGAGGGTGGGTGTGTCGTGGCCTCGTGGATGAGGTTAAACCAATATTTATTTCCAACAAAAATATTAAGTATTTAATAATTAAAATTTAAATATTATTTTCCTACGTGGCTTCTACGTGTCACATACGTGGATGACACAGAAGCGCCACTTCATCAATGGTCATACAAAGGTTGACCACCGTTAAGTCAACGGTTATCTTTTACAGTCAACAAAAATTCGCGTAACACAAATGACGCAAACCTCTAATACGTTGGAATATTTTTGTGTTTATTGAAAGTACGTAATATAAATGGCACTTTCGCTAAAGGATGGTATTTCTAATGGTATTAGCCCTAAATTTTATTTTATTTATTATTTCTTAATTGCCATGTTACTATGTTAACGGTCAACTTTGAGAGTTGACTGCCACATGAGCCAAATTTAACGGAGTTGGACGGAGAGTGACCAAACGTGAACGGTTTCAGTAAACTGAAGTACCACATATGGATTTAAATATTTCGAGTGACCAAACTTAAACGTCTTTTATAATCTCAGTAACCAACAATGCAATTAACCCTAGAATAATTCATTTCAAAATAGAAAAGTACTTTTAATTTTGTAACAAAATGATCACAATGCTTTTCATTTTGTTATAAAATGGTAATAAAACTGTTTTGAGTACAAATATGCATTATCGTGAGCATAAGTATCATAACTTAAAACTATAAATGAATCAATATCAAACCTATGACTAGATCAATCACAGAAAAACATTAACCTTCCCGTGAAATCATCCTCTCCTTTCTCATTGCACATGGTGCATGTCATGCCACTTCCATCCTTTGACATAGCTTCGTATTATCTTCCATGCTTGTCTTTATTCGTTGTTTTTTCAATTCCCAAGCTTTTTTGTGTCTCTTTGTTTGTCTAAGATCCCTCTTCTTCTCCACAAATGTCGATGAATCAAGTTCAATGCGATCATTGTGAATCCATTGGGAGGAATCATTGAGAGGGAGAACAATCAAAGAATATGATTTCTTGCATGTATCCACCTGATAAGAGTAAGTGATATAGTGATCCTGAAGTTCGTTATTCAGTTGCATGCAAGCAATTGCATGTTGAGAGAGGTGCAAGCAAGGAGAAGAAGCTTGATTCTATCATTCACCTCTTCTAGTTTGTATTTTCTTCTTCTCTCTAATGACTTGAATCTCTAGTGGTTGTTTAGGGTAGACGAATCCTAGTTATAGGTGGTGAATTTTTGCGTTTTGAATGAATGAATGTGTTTTGTCTAATTGATTTTACTGTCACTCTTTCATAAACGATGATGCTTGGGTAAGTCGCCCTAATCTTCCCTCTTAGCCTACTTTATGCTACCGCGCTAGGTATGGAATTCTAGGGTTAGACGGGTATGCGTCATCTGGCGAGTTTATGTTAGATGTGTGAATGAGGGCCTATAGTGGTCGAGGCCAAAGCAGTCAAAATCGGGATTTTACCTAAAATTGAAAACTGGGGTAAAACTAGATTCATAAAATCAAATCGTAGAATCGTACGATTTTAAGTACTACATAGAAATTCACATATAATAATATTAATAAGGTAAATCATTAATAACACAAAGACATATAACATTTAAAGTGATAATTTTCAAGATTAATGTTCCAAAATCATCATCTTAATTGTTATTTAATGCGTAACTCAAAATAATTCAGGAGGAAGGGATATAGCTCATGAGGTTTGGCTCTTGTTTTTCATGTTGTGTTTAGGTAGTTTAACTCAAAGTAGTAACGACATCGTCTACTAAGCATGATTTAAAACTTAGAATAAGTGAACTCCAATAAATTTTTTAATGTCATCGGTTTTGGTAAAAATATATTCATTAATCAATTAATTTGTTAATAATGATGTTAATTCTTTCGTACTTACAATATTATGACAATTATTTTACCGATGAGTTAAACAAGGGGTAGGGAAAGTGGTTGACTGAACCCTAATTAGGTTGTTTTTTCCTTTTCAAATGTTTTTTAATAGAAAATATATCTGAGAAGATCCCCGTCATTGTCCTTTTCATCGAAACAGTTTTGCTTCTTTTTAATTGGCTCAAACTGCCTATTTTGTTCACATAGGATCAAAATCCCGATTTTGGTATGATTTTAACAATTTTAATCCCAATTTTGAACAATTTTAAAGTCGATCGATTTTATATTGAAATCAGGATCGGAATCCCTAAGTAAAATCCTAAAATCCTACGATTTTATGATTAAAATCCCGATTTGACTACATTGGTCGAGGCGCCCGAACCCCTGCTATAGGTAGCCTTCCTAAATGAAACCCGAGATGAAACCTCGGTGTGGACGATTGATAGTGTCCTTTGAAATGAGCCATAAGCTTAATGCCCCAGATACGATAGTTTAGATCAAGGTGACTTGAACATGAGTTTAGGGGAAGCGTACTCGGAGGCGTGTGGATAACCATGAAAGCCCACGAAAATGATCTCACTCACCACATTCGATTAACCCTACTTTATAACTTTAGGTAGGAGGAGTCGACCCTAGGCAACCATCTCATCTCTAGAGTCCTCTCAACCACTTGGTTGGTTGTTTATTTTTCCTTAGGAGTAGGATAATTTAGCTTAAATCCCTCATCAAACTTCCATCCCGATTAAATAGTAGTCCAGAGCAAAGTAATAATACACTTAGGAATCCCTTGAAATACGATCGAGCCACTTTACTACAACCCTAGTTAGGTTATACTTGGCTTAATTAGGATTGATTAGAGAATGTGTTTTGATTAATAAATTTAAATCTCGATCGCGCACCGAAATACGATTAGTGTCTATGACCATTCTCAATGTCGGTATATTCCTGGGTCATTTCCCGGTGATCGGAAACCGGTCCAGTCACTACCAGAATATTAATTAGCGTTCCTTTTTTGAAATTCCCAATAATTCAACTGTTAAGATTTAATATTCAGCTGAACTGGCGCATTAGTTATTTTCTCGCTACTAATTATCAGTGGCAAAAGCGGAATCTTTGTTCCTAGAGTAATTTCGCAAGTGATTTAGTGCAAATTTAATTCGTTTCCTTTTATTCTCCCTAATTGGTGTGTGTTTGATTGACGTTCTGAGTCCTACTCTGAGATACTGGTTGTATTTTGACACTATTGGGGTTGACGCACCCCGATTTATTAATATTTAAGGATTGGAGTACCCCATGCGCTCCGTTTCACACAAAAAAAATACTCACTATCAATGCTCTTTCCCCAGGTCCTAACCTTTAGGGATGGGCTTTTTATCCCACACTAATTTCCATCTTACGTAATCTCTGTTAGCACGGGTGAAGACATTCAATAGATTGTTTTCCCTTTCAATTGATTTTTCCATCTGGACAGCCAGAGTAGTCAAAATTCCGATTTAAATCATAAAATCCTACGCTTTTACGATTTTACTTACCTATTCCGATTCTTATTTCACTAAAAAAACTATTGACCTTAAAAT